ATATATGGGGTATGGGGTACCGTGGATTTGCACAGCTCTAGTTTTTACTGTACGGGACAACATATGCTCCAGTCCAGCAACAAACAATCCAACACACTGAAAACATGGTTTTGAACTGACCCGCTTGCAGTTTGGACCTCGCACCATTTGGCGTAAAGAAGGCCCAGAACTGTAGATCAAATAAAATCCTCCATCAGACAAGAACGGGACAACGTTCCCTCCAAAAACAACAGCAGCTGCTCTCAGCTCCTCAGTCTTTACAGAGTGCCGTTAAAGGAAGAGGAGATGCTTCACGGTGGTAAACGTAGTAGTCCCAGAACAACTGGAGATATTTTGCTGCCCTTAAATGCTAAAATCTTTATTCCCCTTCCAAAACAGTACAATTCCTTAGTTCAAACATGAGATATTTACTATCTTCTTTAAAAACCACATGATGTTAATCTGGACTGATGTTAATCTGGACTGATAACTAAAACATTTGAATTGAAAGAAGAGCATGGCAATACGCTGGTGAAGATTCTCTGTCATCCAGGACATGGTAAATTCAAAAAGGTTCAAGACAAAAACATCTGGACTTTATTTGCAACAGGAGATGTTTCACTTCTCATCCGAGGAGCTTTCTCAAGTCAAAGAACAGAGTGTGGGGTTCAAGTTATAAAGCTGATGCACTATCACTTCTCACGACAGGGGTTCGTTAGGGTCTTTGATAGTCGGACTCACAGAAGAGCCACTCTGGTCACATGGATGAAATTCGTGATAGGTGTGAAAATGACTGGGTATCAGGTGTAAAGCTGCATTATAAGTTTTAGAGTTGAAATCTGAGACCTCCTCCTCTGTTTAAAGATGGATTCTCTCGTTTTACATAAACGTCTTCCTTCACCCCCCTCTCAAACCATCTGTCTTCTCGGTCCAAAATGTCCATCTTTAAACGGAGGAGGAGGTCTCAGATTTCAACTCTCTAAAATGCAGCTTTACACCTGATACCCAGTCATTTTCACAACTACCAGGAATTTCAGCCATGTGACCAGAGTGGCTCTTCTGTGAGTCAGACTATCAAAGACCCAAACGAACCCATATGTGAGGACCAGATGACCCGACTGAGCATTGCTGGATTTTATACCTGGATTACCGAGCATGAACTTTGGTGCCTATTGTGAGGAGTGATAGGGCAATCTGCATATGTATCTAGAAACTCCAGCTTTATAACTGTGTTCTTTGAATTGAGAAAGCTCCTCGGATGAGAGGCAAAACGTCTTCAGTTACAAATGAAGTCCAGTTGTTTTTGTCTTGAACTTTTAATAATTGTAAGAAGACTAACTTTATCTGATAAAGTAGAACATTCTGAACCTCTGCACTAAGCAGCAGCGCTGCTGTAGCTCCCAGTCTGACTCGGTCCGGTCCGGTTTCTGCGCGCTGATGTCGACATGTCCGGGTTGTCGATATGCATCACTTAGCTTTTAATGACCCCCCCCCCCCAGCCCCACTCCCCTGCTTCATGCTGACTTCACAGATAACTCGAGCACACACACGCACACGACTCAGCAGAACTGAGCCAGCCTCTGTGTACTGACAGGGATGAGTAATCACTGGTGAAGAGTGGAGTTGATGCTCTGCCTCTGATGTCGAGAGGCTTTCAGGAGCTGCTTCCTGCGTCGGTTTTATTCCCTCGGCTGCATCCAACCCTAATGAGGTTATTTAACTCTCAGTAAACGAGGCGAGGAGTTCCACGTTCTTGTTCTCGACGCAGGAACAAAGTAACGTTAAGTTGTTGCTGTAGGATTTTTTGGGGATTGTCACTACTTTCATCTTATTTTAGCTGTTCACACGTCACAATGTTCAGCTCATTTAGAAAGGCCCATTGTTGTTTTGTCACTTTTATCCTTTTATAAAAGTTAATCTTTTATTAAAATGAATGGAGAACTCTTCAGATCCCTGAAGAACTTTGTGCTTTTTGAAATCTACATCAACGTACGGACGTCGTTTTGTAGCTTTTAGCTGCTAAAATCTTAGCTTGTCCTTTTTGTTTTTGCTAATTTGTTTTAACGTTGACCTTTAGCTTCTGCAACGAAACTCAGCAAAGTCTCGCATTTTCTCTAGTCTAACAAAAGATTTTCTCCCCAACCCTGATGCTTCAGACCGAGCGCCGGCTCCTGGTTTCATACCTGGGACACCTCCCTGTGACGTTATGTTGTTCCCTGGAGCAACAGCAGCCGGAGATACCGTTGCCATGGCTGCCAGTTCAACTCCCACTGCTCCTGTTTTAGCCTGTGTCTGATTAGCAATTCAGAAATGTCTCATAACCATTAGTCACCACTGAGGATTATTTTAATCAAATGCAAGAAATCAGTATTCTCCACTTTGTCTGAGCCACACTGAAAGCAGCTCTGATGCTTCCCTCTGTCTTGCCGCAGGCTGCAGTGAGCAGGTGGAGGTTCACACAGAGCGGAGGGGTGTCCTCTACAGTCCCTCCTGGCCCTTAAACTACCCACCAGGGCTCAACTGCAGCTGGCACATCCAGGGGAGTCCTGGAGAGGTCATCACCGTCAGGTAGACTCTCCTCCACCTCACCCACGTTCCATTTCTGCAGAACGAGCGCCTAACGTGATCGATCCTGTGCTCCAGTTTTCGTAACTTTGACGTAGCGGAGTCAGGAAGGTGTGCGGGAGACCGGCTCCTGCTGAGCCCGTCGTGGAGTGGAGAATCCAGGCTGTGTGGCTCCGTGCTGCCGCCTCCCTTCATCTCCACCAGGGGACGCGTTTGGCTCTACTTCCACTCCCAGGCCAACAGCTCGAGACAAGCCCAGGGCTTCCGTCTCTCCTACATCAGAGGTATGTAGCTACATCCTTAAACACCAGCAAAGAGGTGAATTATCCTCTTACAGAAAGGGCAAAGAAGTTCAAAATGTTCAAACTTCCTAAATCTGCGTCTCGTTAACAGTTAACCACAGCTAATCAACATCAATTTCAGTTCTATTCAGTTTATTTATATAGCGCCAAGTCACAACAGAAGTCATCTCAGGGGACTGAACAGAAACATTCATATATAAAAATAATAAGTTAACATTATTTATCTGAGGAGCAGACTGCTTTGAATTCAACGCCATCACAGAACTCTCATCTTGAACAAGCATGAAGGCGACAGTGGAGAGGAAAAACTCCCTCATGAGGAAGAAACCTTTAGCAGAACCAGGGACAGGACAAGCGGCCATCTGCTTTGACTGGCTGGGTTTGAGAGGAACAGATACACAATGGCAGGTTGAGAATTGCATGCTAAGATAGAAATAGTATCAAATGAAAACTATTTAATTTTAACAATCATTTAAGGAAATGAGGTCAGTTTGTCCTCCAGTAGTCTAAGCTTAAGGCAGCATGACAAGCCAAACCTAACTATAGGATTTATCAAAAAGGAAAGTCTTAAAACTGGACCATGTGTCAGCCTCATGGACAGAAACTGGAAGTTGGTTCCACAAGAGAGGAGCCTGATAACTGAAAGATCTTCCTCCCATTCTACTTTTTAGAAACTCTAGGGACCACAAGATAACCTGCAGTTTGAGAGTGAGGTGCTCTGTTAGGAAAATATAGAACAATAAGATCTCTAATATAAGATGGAGCTAGGTTGTTGAGAGCTTTGTAGGTTAGAAGTAAGGTTTTGAATTCAATTCTGGATTTGACAGGGAGCCAATGGAGAGAAGCTAAAACTGGAGAGATATGATCTCTCCCACTAACTCCAGTTGAAACTCTGGCAGCAGCATTTTGATCAATTGAAGACGTTTTAAAGAAGTATTTAAACTCCCACATAACAAAGCGTTGCAATAGTCCAGTCTAGACGTGACAAATGCATGAACCAGTTTTTCTGCATCATTTTTAGATAAGATGTTTCTAATTTTAGTGATATTACGCAGGTGGAAGAAGGCGGTTCTAGTAAAGTTTTTAATGTGGGGGATAAAAGACATGTCCTGATCAAAAATATCACCAATATTTTGTAACATTAGAGCTGGAGGACAGATTAATGCCACCTAAGGAGAGAAAGACATCAGCTAATTGTAGTTCATTCAGTTTTACAAGAGTGATCTAAAATTTGGTGTGGTCGTAGCCGAGAGTCGACCACGACACAAACTCTGAACACATCCTGAAAGTTTTGACAATATTGCCTGAGTTTGTTCATAACAACATTCAGAAGGGTTGACCAAAAACTCTCGACTCAGCATACAGTTATTTTAGCTTAAGTCCTGTGTGGACAGTACTGTTTGAGTTGATGATGTAAGCTCCGCCCTGAGCGATCAGAGTTCATGTCAAGGTCTGACTGTGTCTCCTCTGCAGGTCGTCTGGGTCAGAGCAGCTGCCAGTCAGACGAGTTCCTCTGCGGGAACGGGAAGTGTCTCCCTCGCTCCTGGAAGTGCAACGGGCAGGACGAATGCGGTGATGCCACTGATGAACGAGGCTGCTCCCCACCTCCCACAGAGTCCCACCCCGGTCTCTGCTCGCCCGGCTCCCTGCCGTGCACACAGGCTCAGACCACCCGCTGTCTGCCAGCCACCCTACGTTGCAACGGAGCCCGAGACTGTCCCGACGGAAGCGACGAGCGTGGCTGTCCCGACACCAGCTGTGGCAAACGACTCGGGAACTTTTACGGCTCGTTTGCTTCTCCGGACTTTTTCCACGTCGACCGGGGCGCCACGTCTGAACTGAGGTGCTCCTGGTTGCTGGACACCCAGGACACCAAGCCCATTGTGCTGCAGCTGGACCTTCAGTTGGGGCCTGGGGATTTACTCCATGTGTACGACGGCCTGCTGCAGCATGCGGAGCATCTCTTACAGGTGTTGTCGCATCACAACAACAGGCGCCCGGCACTGCTGGAGTCCAGCCGAGGCCAGATGAGTGTCCTGTACATGGCACAGCCTCAAAGCCCCGGACACGGCTTCAATGCTACATACCAGGTCCTCCATCTGTCCTTCATTCATCTGCACAGCACAGCTCTAGAGTTTCTTAAGTTTCTATAAACTCTTTCAATCTGACTTTCAGGACTAAAACTAGAAATCTCCTCTTGTTTATTTAACTTTTCCATGAGTACCTTTAAAGTGAAGCCGGATTTCAGCTGCGGTTTGTCAAATTATCCATGAATGCATTTCCTTAAGACAATGTTGGCCCTCTGTGAAGTCTAAACTAGGCATGCCTGGTTATTTAAGCAAAATGAAAAGAATAAAGACTTGATGTGCCACAGATTGGCAGGCCAGTTCTCACAGGTTTAAAATATCACCTCACAGGCATGATCAAATTAACTAGAGAAATTGCATTTCCTGCGAAAATGTGGTGTGAATGCTTATTGCTGAAGAACTTGCTGAAAAACAGCTGAAATTAGCTAAAATAACATGCTGAATTACAGCTGAAATGAAAGAACAAGTCTTAATTAGCAGAAGAAAGCAGAAAAACACATTTTTTGCTGAATTAGCAGAAATGAGCACGAAAATTAGCTAAAAAAAAGCTGAAATTAGCAAAAAAAAATAGCTGAACAGTAGCTGAAAAAGCAGAAAGAAGCTTAAACTACTATAAGGAAGCAGAAAGAGCTGAAATGAGCTAAAAAAATGAGGAATTGGCAGAAAAGGCTAAAATTAGCATTAAAAAAAGCTAAATAGTAGCTGAAATATCAGAAAAAGCTGAAAATAGCAGAAAAAAGCCGAAATGAGCATGACAAGCTGAAATTACCATAAAGAAGTTAATTAGGCTGAAAGTAAAAAAATTATTCATGAAAACTTGAATTTACCTGGAAACAGCTGAAATTAGCTAAACAATGCTGAAAGGGTAGCAGAAAAGGTATAATAAGCTTAAATTACCAGAAAAAAAACACACTCAAAAAAACATGTTTACCCAATTAGGCTGAAAGAAGCGTAAGTGAGCACAAAAAAAGTGGAAATTATCTGAAAAAGGCTGAAATTAGCAAAATAAATAAATAAACACAGCTGAAAAGCAGCCTAAATTAGCAGAAGGAAGTGGAGAGCACATTTTTTGCCGAATTAGGCTGAAAAAAGTTGAAATGAGTGGAAAAAATGTGGAATTAGCTGAAAAAGCTTAAATTAGCATAAAACAGTTAAATATTAGCTGAAGTAGCAGAAAATGGTGAAACTAGCAGAAATAAGCTGAAAGGAACATAACACGCTGAAATTAGCAGAAAGAGTTAAGAAGAAGCACAAAATGTTGTAGTTAGCTGAAAGAATCTGAAAGGAGCACAAAACAGCTGAAAAGTAGCTGAAATTAACTGAAAGTAGCTGAAAAAGGTTTAATTTGCACAAAGAAGCTGAAATAAGCTGAACTAGAACACAATGTGAAAGGAACAGTAAAAGGTTGTAAACAGAGCTAAAGATTTGAAGGATGTAAAATGAGCTCAATTCAACAAAGTCCATGCTCAATAATCCAGGTATACAATCCAACATATTTCAGTCAGGTCTGTCCAGATGACCTGACTGAAAAATGTTGCGTTAATACCAGAAGTCGTAGCACCCTTCTGCTGAAGGAGCTGAACGTTTTGATGTATGAATTGTTGAAATAGCTTGAAAACTGTGGAACGAGAATCGCACCGTCAAATGTACAGAAGAAAAATGGATCACAACAGTGTGAATGCTGCATAAACATTCACACAATAAAAAAAGGCTGTTTCTGGTTTGTGAGCTTTGAGTTTGACACGTTCAAGATTATAGAAACAGAAGCAGCTGAGAGGTGTCCAGTTGTCTTCTTTGGTAACTTTGTCCTCCTCCACCCCCCCAGGTGAAAGGCTACTGTTTCCCTGGCGAGCACCCGTGCGGCAGTGATCAGGGCTGCTACTCCGACCGCCAGCGCTGTGACGGCTACTGGCACTGCCCCTCTGGACGCGATGAGGAGGCGTGTGCGATGTGCTCCAATGGGGAGTTCCCGTGTGAAGGAGCCACTGGAGCTTGCTACCCACTGTCTGAGCGCTGCAACAATCAGAAGAGGTGCCCGGACGGGTCGGATGAGAAGAACTGCCATGACTGCCAACCTGGAAACTTCCACTGCGGAACTAACCTGTGCATCTTCGAGACGTGGCGCTGCGACGGCCAGGAGGACTGCTTGGACGGGAGCGACGAGAGGGACTGCCTGGCCACGGTGCCCAGGAAAGTGATCACGGCGGCCCTGATCGGCAGTCTGGTGTGCAGCCTTCTGCTGGTCGTCGCACTCGGGTGTGCCCTCAAGCTGCAGTCGCTCAGGAGCAGAGAGTACAGGTGAACACTCTTTGTTCAGTTGTTGTAAACTTCTCTAATTTCATGCACTCAGTAGTGAGTATACAGTAGAGCTGTCATTTCTAACCCGGGCCCGAAGCCTGGCCACTGGATGGGTGGGCCGGGTCGGTGTCAGGCTTTTGATTGTGTCAGAGGACACGCACGGCTGACGATCCAATTTTATGGTAACATGGCTTGCCATACAATTTGGATCACCAGCCACACGCAGCCGTTTGACCGTGCGCTGGTTGAAAGAAGTTAAAAGAAGTTCTGTTAAGCTTCAGATGGACCACTGCCAGTGATCCATCCAAAGCCCAAAGGGACTCAGCTGCTGCGTCAGCGGACGCACGCGGCCAACGACCCAATTTGCTGAATGGGTTTGAGAACGGGTGAAATCCCAAAATATCCTCACAGACATGTCAGAGCAGGATCAGTGTGAATAATGCAGAATGCAGGGATTTAATGAGCTTTGACGGCCATGAAAGGACAAACACCCCCTCAGCTCCCACCCAGCTTCTGCTCCCTGTTACTCAGCCACGCGTCCGCCGACCGTTAATAACTATTATTACTATGATATTATAATATTATAATAACTATGATAACTATAATATTATAATAACTATAATAACTATAATATTATAACTATGATAACTATAATATTATAATAACTATGGTAACTATAATATGATAATAACTATAATAACTATAATATTATAACTATGATAACTATAATATTATAATAACTAT